AGGTTGATTCCATATTTTGGCTATTGTTAATAAGTGATGCAATGAACATGATGGTGCAGATATCCCTTTAACATTCTACTTTCATTTCTTTTGGATATATACCCAGTAGCGGGATTGCTAGATCATATAGTAGCTCTATTTTTTATTTATTTATTTTTTATTTCAAAATATTAAGGGGATACAAATATTTTTGTTACATGGGTAGATTTCATAATGCTTTAGTCAGGGTTATAAGTGTGCCCACCAGTGGAATAGTGTTCATTGTACCCATTAGGTAGGTTTTTACCCCTCCTTTTATCCCCTCTCCCCACTTCTTGATTTCCAATGATATTTAATTCTTTCTGTGCCCATGTTTGCCCATCAATTAGTTCCAAATATTAAAGAGTATATGTGGTGTATCCTTTCCCATTCTTGAGATACTTCACTTAGGATAATGGTCTCTGTTTCCATCCAATTGCTTCAAAAAATATTAATTCACTTGTTTTTTATAGCTGAGCAGTACTGCTTGATATATATATATATAATATTTTAATCCATTCATAAATTAATGGGCACTAATGCTGATTCTTCATCTTTGCAATTATAAATTGTGCTAAAATAAATATTCCAGTGTAGGTGTCTTTTTGATAAAATGACTTGTCTTCCTTTGGGCAGATACCTAGTATTGAGATTGCTGGATAAAAATGGTAGGTATACTTTAAGTTCTTTGAGAAATCTCCATATTGTTTGCTATAGAGGTTGTACCAACATGCAGTCCTACCAACAGTGTATTAGCATTCCTTTCTGTCTGCATCCATGCCGGCCTCTATTGTTTTTTGTCTTTTCAATAAAACCATTCTAATAGGGGTAAGGTGATATCTCATTGTAGTTTTAATTTGCATTTCCCTGATGATCAGTGATGTTAAGCCTTTTTTCATATTTGTTGGGCATTTGTTTATCTTCTTTTGAAAAACTTGTGTTCATATCTTTTGCCCACCTTTTAATGGGGTGGTTTGTTTTTTCTTGCTGATTTGTTTGAACTCTTTGTCGATTATGGATATTAACCCTTTATCAGATATATAGATTGTGAATATTTTCTCCCATTTTGTAGGCTATTTTCTCTGCTGATTATTTCCTTTGCTGTGCAGAGCTTTTTAATTTAATCAAGTCCCATTTATTTATTTTTATTGTTGCTATAATTGCCATTGGGGTCTTAGTCATAATTTCATTCCTAGGCCGATATCTAGAAAAGTTTTTCCTACATTACCTTTTGAAATTTTTATAGTTTCATGCCTTACATTTAAGTGTTTCAGCCATCTTGAATTAATTTTTGTGACTAGTGAGAGAGAGAGGTTCTGTTTCTTTCTTCTTTATGTGACTCTCCAGTTTTCCCAGCACTATTTATTGAATAGGGCTTCTTTTCCCCGGTGCATGTTCTCTGCTTTGTCAAAGATCAGTTGGTTGTATGAATATGGTTTTATATCTGGGTTCTCTGTTCTGTTGGCCTATGTTTCTAGTTTTGTACCAATAATATGCTGTTTTGTTTACTGTAGCCTTGTAGTACAGTTTGAATTCTGGTAACATGATGACACCAGATTTTTTTTCTTTTTGCTTAAGGTTGTTTTTTATTTGGCCTCTTTTTTGGTTCAAAATGAAGCATAGAATTATTTTTTTCTTGATCTGTGAAATATGATGTTAGTATTTTGATGGAGATTTCATTAAATCTCTAAATCACTTTGGACAATATGGACATTTTCACAAAGTTGATGCTACCTATCCATAAGCATGATATGTTTTTCCATTTGTTCATACCCTCTGTGATTTCTTTCCTCAGTTCTCTTTGTAGAAACCTGTCACCTCCTTCATTTAGTATACCCTATTTTATTTTCTTTGTACCTATTGTGAATGGTATTGAGTCTTTGATTTGACTGTTAGGTTGACTGTTACTGGTATATAGAAATGCTACATTTTTGTACATTGATTTCTGTAACCTTAGACTTTGCTGAATTTATTTATCAATTCCAGGAGTCTCTTGGAGGAGTTTTTGGGATTTTCTAGATACAAGATCATATCATCAGTGGAGAAGTAATCGCTTGTTCTCCTCTTTCCTGATTTGGATACTCTTTATTTCTTTCTCTTGCCTGATTGTTTTGGCTATGACTTTCAGCATTATGTTGAATAGAAGTGGTGACAGTGGGTGTCCTTGTCTTGTTCCAGTTCTTAGGTGAAATGCTTCCAACTTTTTCCCCTTCCCATTATGATGTTGGCTTTGGGTTTGTCACATATGCTTCTTATAATTTACAGATATGTACCCTCTATGTCTAGTTTCTTCAGAGTTTTTATCATGAAAGGGCACTAGATTTTGTCAAATGCTTTTTCTGCATTTATTGAGATGATTCTGTGGTCATTGTTTTTGCTTCTGTTTATGTAGTGAATCACATTTATTGATTTATGTATGTTGAACCATCCTTGTCCAAGATGAAGCCTGTTTGGTCATGGTGAATTACTTTTTTGACATGCTGCTGAATTTGGTTGTCTGGTATTTTATTTAGGATTTTCGCAGCTGTGTTTATAAGGGATATTAGTCTGTAGTTTTCTTCTTTTGTTCTGTCTTTTCCTGGCTTTGGTATCAAGGTGATACTGACTTTGTAGAATGAAGTAAGGAGAATTTCCTCCTTCTCAATGTTATGGAATAATTTCTGAAGTATGGGTACCAGCTCTTCTTTGTAGGTCTGGTAGAATTTGGCTGTGAATCCATCTGTTCCACGGCTTTATTTTTGTAAGAAAATTTTTTGTTATTCCTTTGAAATCACTGCTCATTATTGCTTTGCTCAGGAGTTATTTTTCTTCCTGATTGAGTCCTGGGAGGTTGTGTGTTTCCATGAATTTGTCTATTTCTTCTGTTTTCTAGTTTATGTGCGTAGAGGTTTGTGAAGTATTCATGGATGATATTTTGTATTTCTGTGGTATCAGTTGTAATGTCTTCTTTTTTATTTTTGATTGAGCTCATTTGGTCCTTTCTCTTCTATTCCTGATTAATCTAACAAGAGTTCTATCAATTTTGTTTATCTTTTCAAAGAAGCAACTTTTTGTATTGTTGACCTTTTGTATTTTTTTGTTGTTTTCCATTTCATTTAATTCTGCTCTGGCCTTTGTTATTTTTTTTCTTCTGTTGGTTTTGAGTTTAGTTTGTTCTTCATTGTCTAGTTCCTTGAGATGTGTCATTAGGTTGTTAATTTGTGATTTTTAATTTGTGATTTTTCTGTCTTATTGATGTAGGCATTTGAGGCTATGAATTTTCCTCTGAGGAATGCTTTTGTTGAGTCCCATAAATTTTGATAGTTTGTGTCCTCTTTTTTGTTCAATTCAAAGAATCTTTTGATTTTCATCTTAATTTCATTATTGACCCAATAATCACTCAGCAGCAGGTTGTTTAATTTCCATCACTTTGTGTAGGTTTGAGTGTTTCTCTTGTGATCAATTTCTAGTTTTATTCCACTTTGGTTTGTGGAGATACAGGGTATGATTTTAATTGTTTTTTTAATTTGTTGAGGCCTGATTTGTGGCCTAAGGTATGATCAATCTTGGAGAATGTCCCAAGATTGCTGCCAAGAAGAATGTATATTCATAATTTGGGGGAGAATGGTTTATAAATGTCTCTTAGGTCCATTTGATTTAGAGTCTCATTTAGCTTAAGTGTTTATTTATTTTCTGATTTGATGATGTGTTCATCACTATTCAATCTTATCAGAAGGCAGTTAAATTATTTTGTTGCTTTCAAGAAACCCATGAGAATTGGTATTCCTTCTTCAGTTTGCATCAAAACTCAAAAAAATTAGAATAATCTTATCTACATTTAAAAATTTTTTTAAATTAAGGAAATATGAGCTGAAAATGTCTTTAATACTGACTCATATTAACTTTCCCATTTCATTTGGAAACTTATTATCAGGTCTTCATTTTGGTCTATTGATTCAATTTATTATGAACATATTTTATACATTATTTTTTACTTTTCTAAAATTTATAACTTATAATGATATATTTTCATATTTATATATTCTTTCTACATTAAGTGATATTGATTTCCTATTTTCCATCTTGATATAATTTTTTAAATGGAGTTTAAAAAACAAATTTACATAATTTATTGAATAACTACTGACAGATGCCATCAAAGTATATTTGAATGACACAGGTTTTGAAACACTGTGGTATGATGAGCCTTTAGGATCAAGGTTAAAGATTTTCTTCATTCTTGAATTTTTAGGCTTAAGAAAATACAAATACTTAAGGAGCTGCAATAATTATTTCAATTCGTTTAGCTTTATAAGTAGATGTAAAGTTTTAGGGAATTGTTCTCATTTTACCTTTCAATTATCAGAAATTTCAGCCATTATTTAGTCATACATCAAATATATTTTCACTTATTTTCCTGAAAGTCACTATGATACTTGCAAATAGAAACAGAAATGACTATAAAGTAACTACTCTCAAAGTATTTACAATTTCATAGTGGAGGCAGACACACAAACACCTAACTAATAAAAGGAGGAATGGATTGTGAGCTATGATAGATATATAAGAAAAATGCTGTGGCAATTTGAAGGAGAAAAACATTATGACTGGAAATGAACAAAAGAGAGATCAAAAGCTAAATAGAGCTAGTGGCATTTAATCAGTGGCTTCAGGAATAAGAAGGTAAAATGGTCACAGAATAAAGGATTCCAGGCAGAGAGAAATATGTCAGCAAAGCTCTGGAGTGAAGAAAGGGCAAGATATGTTCCGGAATTAGCTGTCTAATGTGGCTGGTGCACAAGGACATGTGATGAAAAGTGAACCTGTAAAAGAAAAGCATAAATATCAAAAGAAGTAGTTTAGATTTTATTCAGGAAATTTGTTAAAGCAATGGATTAAGGAAAAGTTTGGTCATTGTTCCTACTTAATACTATCTTGTGCTGCAGTGTATGCACTTGGAACTGAATCAATTTTAGGGCTGGTGCATCTAAAGTCCTTTGGGAGAAGTAAATGCCAAGACCAAAGGTCATTATAGCATCTGTGGAACCATAAAATTAAAATTGGAAATATACTGAAAGACATTGGTTTAAAAAGAAAACCAAGGCAATTATAGTGAGTATTAAAGAGAGTAATTGATGGGACATTTGCCAGCTTTGAATTAATTAAATTCAACCTTAATTTCTAAAAGTGCATCGAAATAAAACCATCCTTCTTCAGTACAGCGAGATGGTAATGTTATCCCATTATGATTCATTTCAAATTTGAGCTCTTCCCAACTTTAACCTATTTGGTTAATTAAGAATGAAGTAATGGCTACAGATAACTTCATTGTCAGGAAGATCACCACCTGGCTCAGAATTGGTCAAATGGAAGCCATCATTCCCATTTTCACCTGCCTTCTATGCTCTCAGCTTTAGTTATGGTTTGATGTTAATTAATCCTGGAAGCAGGAAATTAAATAGTAAATTACCTAAATCCAACCAACAGGTTCTGCGTTCCAAGTTTTTGCTTTATACCTATGCATCTATTTGAGTGTGTGGACATGCGTAGGAATGCCTACTTTTAGTGAAATGGGCAGATGTGAGATATATTGATTGGATTCTTCCTGCCATTGACTATGTAACAAACCTGTCGCTTCTGCAAGTAGTGAATCATGTTGACAGGGGCATTACATTTTATAAGTTTCTTTTTCTTTATCCAGAACATTTGTAACTGAAGCACACTTGCCTTTTAAAAGTGAGCTCTGCTGCATTCCAGAGACATTGAAATACTCGTCTTGACATGGAAAGTCAGTTTCTCTGCTAGCACAGACAATTTTTAACATGAGCAAGATCTTCTCAACACCTTTTTGCTTTGGACTCCTAACTTTGTTATCTGTGATGATCTTTTTAGAATTGGTGCGTGGACGGCCATATCTTACCCAAGGTACGTGCACATGAATCTAAAAGCCTATAGGTGAGTAAATCTTAATTTTTTTTCATTTGCTTTGCTATGATTTTTTTGCCATTATTGAAATAATGTTTTAAGACATTAAGATAATTGAATAGCCAAACTTCCCTTTTAAGCAGTTGCTGTTCAGAATTAAATGTAATACTGTTCTTAAGCAAATGGTACCAAATTAATTTTATCCAATATTTTACTAAATTAATTTTGACTACACTTTCTTTTTTCTAATAATGAAGCACATGTTTCTCATTTGTACTTCATGAGCAAAGATTGGGAATGTATAAATATTAATATAGGCAGGGACATAATCTATTCAATATAATCATATTTTGAAAGTACATCTTGGGGAAGAAATCTTCATTTTATGAGATTATTAGTAAATAACTTATGAAAGATAAATAGAGCAAAGAAAAATACATCAAGATTAAAAACTTGCATTCACAGAGATTTGAGGATAATAAAGCATTGGAGAAATCTCCAGGGCAGTGCTAAGACCCACATTATGCATGACCATATCTTTCAGGTTTCTAACATACCTAGGGTATTTATGTAAATGAAATAATTTAATCCATCCTTCAAACATATATCATGATAAACTAGGTGAAAATAAGTTTTTGCTCTTACAACATTTGTAACTTCTATAATCTTTCTTTAAATTTTTCAGTGCATTCTGTTGCAGAGGTAGCTCTTAATCTCAGAATTAATAGAGCTAGATTTAGTGCTTGTTTAGTAGGTAAACAACTTAACCTCATTGAAACTTTTATAAATTTCTTTATGCTTGAAAAATAGTGACTTAATATAATGCTCTCTAATATCCCTTCTGGCTTGAAATTCTGGGATTTTCTTTTATCTAACTGATCTTCTTTTCAGGAAAAGGCAGTTAACCTTTTACTCATCTTACTTAGGGGGAAATCAAGATGGAAATGTAGTAAATTTTATTTACATGACACTAGGTTGAGATAAGGATTAAGTGTCCCATTTATGGATCTAATTCAACTTTGTTAGATCTTGTTGCTTCAAATGTAGTTTTTAAAGTCAATGAAAATTAGAGCATTTCTTTTGGTAGTGGAAATAAGTTTGCATAATCACTTGATATTTATTTACAAGAATTTTGCATTGAAAAACAAATAGTCTCAGAGACTTAAATATAAGCCTGGGAATCAAATATTTTGGATTTTATCCATGGTACTCACATTTTGTCTTTGTCTGATTTAAATGATAGCACTTGATAGGCCTCCATTGTGCTTTCTGTAAAATAATGAGATTTCCAATGTTTCTAACACGGTACAGATGTGTAAGGAAAAATGTGGTCATTTGCTGAGGACTTTGCAAAATTAGGATGTGTTACTGTTAACTGTAACTTCAGATTTCAAGTGTATAGGAAATAGAGAAAAATCCAACTCTAAAACATTTGCTAGACTTATAATTAGATAACATCTCTGACCTCAGAATACCACACAGTGATATGCATATCTTACTGGCAACATAGTGGAAATATTTCTTTCTGGGAATTCTTTGATCTCAGTTTTATTATATATATTATAAATAAGGAAGATTAAGTTATTAGTAAAGTTATTTTCTGTTGTAAATTGTCCAAGATTAGAGTGAGTCTCTTTCCATGTATACATGTTTTAAACCAACCAAATATTTGATTTATTTCAGTCTTTTCATAAATTTTTAAAGAAGCATTTATCTGCAGAAACAGACTACAAAGTTGGGGTCACCAGCCTTCTCTCTAGGTGTTAGATAATATCAAAGGCACATGGCACAATCCTGCCAGCTTTCATTTGGCAGGGACCCTATATAAGCATTCCTCAGTGGATAAGCTTGAAACTGGGAAAATTGCTTACCACTAAAAGAAGAAAGAATACCATGACCAAGAAGACTATGGGGAATTTATCTGGGGGGATATTATTATTTTTGGAGTTTCTAGGTTTCATTCTGATAAAATTTCTTGTTTTTATCTGGGAAAAAGCTTCACATGTGACTAGAAAGGAAGGAGACAACTAAGTTTTTTAAGATTCAGTATCTCTAGTAGTAACGAAACAGTATTTTCTATGTAGTAATTGCAAAAGCATTCACTCTCTCACGTCTAAGCAGCTTTGCCATCCTTTGTGCCAAATGTGTAGCTCTACTCAGATATTTTATATTCAAATATTTCCCTCACCAATATTAACTCTGTTGAAAGATGGAAACATATTAAAAACACATTTTTTTTCTTTTAAAATCATATGTTTTAAAACTAAAAAAAAAAAAACAGGAAACAAAAAACTTAAATTTTATTATTTTTTCTTAGCCAATATCTTACTTAGCTTTAGAAATCAATTTCAGCGATTCCTATAAAAGATGTTTGTCTTAAAAGATAATGAGAAGAATTTTTGATGACAAATGGTTATGTAGGTATAATCACTGGAAGCAAAATTGATAAAGAAAATTTTATTTTTTGAAAAATCTTTCACTTAAATATACAGAGGAATGGACTGTAAATTAAGCAAATAAAAGCTTCAGATCTATACTTTCCTAGTTACCTTACTCTTAGTTTTATGAATTCTCTAAGTTGAATACAATGAAATTGTTTCCCTTATCACAGTTCTCTTTCTGAAATTGTTTCCCTAATCACAGGTAAAACTTTATGGTGCAACCTTCTGGGTGTATCCCCTTTCCCTCTCTCTCTCTAAATCTCTCACTCTCCCTCTCTCTCTGTCTCTCTTTGGTTGTTCATATACCCTTATACATTCAATGATTTTTTTAAACAGCCCATCTCTTTGGATTATACACCTCTCTCTACATCTCTTTCATGGGTGAATATACACATTGATAGTCATTATTATCTGTCCCTAAAATGCACCTTTTCCCAATGAAAACATTTTCAAGATTATAACTTAACATTTTGATGAAGATAAAATAAAAATGTATTATCACATAATTATGTCTTTCTTTTAAACTATCTCGGAGGGTCTTTGTATAATTGATGTTGAGCAAAATTTACATTGGTATTCTATTAATGTTTTAAATACTAAAAAGAAAAAGATCCTAGAATTTCAAAGATAGTTTTTATGTTTATGAAGCAAAGAAAATTAAAGAACTGAGCAATAATTAAGTCTCTTTGGTCTATGTATTAATAGAAAACTTTGATGCTGTTAGCTATCTGCCTCAAATCATCCCTTTTCTTCCTTTAACCATTTAATTGTTAGAGTTAATCAACTGACATTTTGTACAGACAAGAAAGACAGATGATTTAAAGATATAATCGGGTCAAATTATGAGCCATTTCTCTAGCTGAGACCACAGTATTCTGACTCCTACATTTGAACCTTATTAATCTAGCTTCTGCCCACAGTGTAGCTGTTAGTACGTGGAGATTGGGAGAGGGAAAAATGATCCCACAGACATTATGTGATAAAGGTTTGATTTTTAAGACTACCTCGTAAAAGTTCGTTATAATATATTAACTATTATTTCAATGGCATTATTTGTTAATAGATATTTTGTCGAATCTTCAGGTTTTATAGCCTGAATGAAGTCTGTTGTCCCAGTTTCTACTCCAGAATAAAAACATTTATAGTGCTGAGAGAGAAGGGCACCTGAGCAATGCATGGCTGTGAAGTAAATCAACAGAGATGGAAAGGTGTCAATATGGACAAGGCAGACACTTCCCCAGCTCTTCTATAAGGCTTCTTGGGTGGTTTAAAGGCAATTCCTGAAAACAAGTGCTAACATTTTAATGTGTATATCAAATAAAATCACAAAATCAAATATTTTTTCTTTGAAAAACAACTATTAGTTTATAATTCTTATGTTAAATGCAATAGTAGAAAATTTCAAAAATACAGATTAAAAAGAAGAAAGTAAAATTCACCTGCAATACCCAGAAGTAAAACTTTATGGTGCAACCTTCCGGGTATATCCTCTTTCCCCCTCTCTCTCTCTAAATCTCTCACTCTCCCTCTCTCTCTGTCTCTCTTTGGTTGTTCATATACCCGTATACATTCAATGATTTTTTAAACAGCCCATCTTTTTGGATTATACACCTCTCTCTACATCTCCTTCATGGGTGAATATACACATTGATAATTGCCTGGAAGCCCATTTAATTAGAAACATTTTCAGTGACTCAGATTGAAAATGGTGGTTTATGATCATTACAGGAAATGAAGTGTTTCCCAATAAGAAGTATCCAAATCATGAGGAACTCTTGCTGGCTCTACTGAATAAAAATTTCGATTTCCAAAGAATTTCCAGCCTTGGTGAGTTAAGAATAAAGTCAACCTTCATTTATTAAAAAAATAACAGAATCTATTCTATCTTGAAACTTGCTCTTTATAAATGTTAGTTTTTGTTAAATAAAATAACTACTATTTTATATGCCACAATGAAGGCTTAGGTGTTTTTCTTATTTCATATTCATTCTAAAATCCATGGAGTTATTGTAAAATATTGAAAGCCTATTTTCTTTAATATGAGGTTTCTAATGGGATTGGTAACCATCTAGTTAAAAATTAGTTACCTTTACTCATATTTTACTCTTACGTGTACAACTCTCTAATTGTACACTTAGTATTTTCTTTTAGTATTTCAAGAGTACTGTGTTTATAGGTTTCTACTAGACATTTCACAAATTAAGTGCAGTTCTGTGGTAGTTAATTTAGCACTTTTTTCAATCCAATTCTTCCAATTCGGGAAATGGAGTAGAAACCATGAATGGGAAATTTAGGCTATACCAATGAAGATTAGTTTCATTTCAAGAGCAGGAGAATCTGACTTACAAATATGCATCAGACTATTCTCCAAGATATGAGTGAGATTTTGTCAGAAATTTAGCAAGTCTAGCCTAAGAGAAAACATGACAATCTGACAATGTAGTACTCTCTCATACAACATCTGAAGTATTCTAAAAAATGTCTGTATCCATAGGATGAAATGCTAGTTAAAAGAATTTAAAGGGTAACTTAATAAAAACTCTTAAAATGCAGAGTTTTAACAGTAGAAGTAAGATATTCTAATTGTAGAAAATAAATGACATTATAAAAAAATTCATACCCAAATTATAAAACCTAGAGAGTTAATATTTTGGAGAATTTTCTTATTGATTCAATCATGTATAGAATTTGTGACCTGCTTTTATTTTCACTTATTCTTGCTTTATAAGAATCTCTTTAGGTTAGTAAAAATACTTCATTTCTAAATAATAGGTCATGTTAGAACTGTGGTCTACTTTAGCAAACTTGTGCTTATTGTTAGAAATTATATATTTTCTTATTACAAAACTGCATTTCAGTATTGAGGTCATTGAACAATATATTGAGGGCTTTATGTTAGGAATGGGTGGGTGATCTCAAATCATGTGAATAAGACCTTTCCTAAGGTCCTAAATGTGTTTTCTGGTGAATTAAATATTATTTCCAGTGTACATTTTTTCACGTGACAAATGTGTCTTGCAGATATAGAACTGGCTAACAAATTGGAAGAACTTAACCAGGTGAGAATGTGAAATACTTAAATTATCAATTTAAATAACAATTATACAGCAAATTCTTTTTGATATAATGTTTTAAAAAATCATTAATATTACAATGTAAAGTTTTTATTACTGCGAGAGAAAAGGTGAAGTAATTCATGAGAAAAAAATCAAGTTAAACTAAAAAACCAAAAACAAAAGAAAACTTTCATAGTGTAGAATGCTATCTATACTATCTACAGTATAGATCTATACTATCATAATATAGATCAAAGTATAGAATGTCTAGAAATGTGGATTCTAGTTTTAGCTCTCCAATTACCTAACTATGAAAACTTGGGAAAACTACAATTCTCTGTATGTGAATTCTCACCTGTAAAATGGGAGGCTATAAACAGATGGGTGTTTTTTGATGTTACTATTCTTTTTAAAGAGTAGGAATCTCTTTTTCTCCAAACAAAATGTTAGTGGTTCCAGCGCGAAACATGCAAGAGTACAGCTGTTCTGCTTGAAGCATCTGGTGTGGAGAGCCAGAAGAACTGCCCTTTTTGCAGGCAGGGCCTTAGCAACCCTTTCTTCTCTACTTCTTGATATGCTATGAAGAAAATTTGAAAATCTTTGCATTAGATGACTTCTAAACTCTTCCAAAAACAATTACATGCAATTCCATTATTGTGCAAACTGGCCATTTGAGAGAGAAAATTATATCTGTCATTCTCTTCTGAGCAGGGAATATGGAGACACGCAGTGGTCCAGGCTGAACTCTACTTTGGTAGAGTGAGGTCTGCAGGGCTTAGGCAATTAGAGACCTTATTAAAAATTAAGATGAGTTGAATCCTGTGTGCAAACACATAACTCTTTGGAGCTCCTTGAAAAGGCCTGTTCATTATAGGTGACATAAAATCAAATCCAGCTACATAGGTTATATTTGTATGTTCCCTATTAATTAACACCCAGAGTTGACTTCCTTTGCCCAAAACCTGTTTCTTCCTAATCTCCTGTTGAGGCATGCACCCTTTCCAGCTAGCCTTTATATGCATGTTTCCTATTTGTTTATTTTTGTTTATTTTCTTTTATTCCTTTTTTTTTTTGCCTTTTCCCTCTTTTTCTTTTTCTTGCATTCTTCCATCATTCCTTCTTTTTTTCCCCTCATTTTTATCCTTTCTCTTCTTCAATAGAGTAAAACATTGTTGTTATTAAAGACTAATTATAATTTTTAAATTTTAACAGCTGGAAAGACTGAAAGAAGCACTTGTGAGGGCAAAGGATGCTGAAATGCCCTATACTATAGATGATCTATTCTCTTCCCATCCTAATAAGCGTGGTAAGGTTTTATTTCAAACTTTTAAGATTGATTTCCAAAAGATTATTTTTGCAATTATTTCAGTTAGGGAAAAAAATTCAGTTGCCATCTCTTAATCTGTGGTGATGAAGATCAAGACTCATATTATTTTTAAAAAGATCCTGATAAAAGTGTTCCCATTTAAAGGTATCTGAGCTTTGTCATTTTACAATATCACACTTTCCAGGTTTAAATAAAATAGGTCTTTATTGTATAAATCTTGTTTATGTTTGCTATTTGGGCTTAAGCATTGAAGCTTTGGGTATCAAAAATAGAAATAATCAAGTTTTAAGTCAGTTCAAAATTTTAGAGAGTCTTTTTTGACATAAGGAAAAACCTCATTGTTATAGCAGTTGATCCAATGTTTCATTCATAACATTTAATTTTAGAACAATTACTGTCTTGGATCACTCTAAATTTTCATAACTTTTCCTAGGAAATTCTTGCTTCTTACTTAGTTCTTATTTTTGAAACAATTATATTAATGTTTATTCATATAGTGATATGAGATTTTCTAAGGCATATTTATTTTTTACTTGTCCCCTATCCCAGATTCATTTTTAACTTCTATAAAAACATATTTTTATAATAACTACTAAAAGGTAAGAGGATGAATTAATATTAAGCACTTAGCATAAACCAGACATTTTACATTTTAATAGCTCAAAATATAGTGGTTAAGCACTTAGACTTTAGGGCTAGACTATCTGGGTTCAAATCTTTACTTTGATATTTACTACCTATGTGATTTGGGGCAATTATCTGATTTCTTCTACCTCATTTTCTTTGCTTCAAAATGGAGATAATAATAATAATCTTCATAGGATCATTGGGAGAATTAAATGAATCGATTTAATTTAGAATAACACTTGGCATATGGGAGGTACTATGTAAGCTTAGCTTTTTTTTATCGTTTTGATCATTGTTACTATAATTATTATGTTATTCTAATATGACTGTTTTATAGATGAGAAAAGATTATAGATTAGATTATAGATTATATATAGATTAGATGTTATTCTAATATGACTGTTTTATAGATGAGACTACATTTTAGAAGGATTAAATTATATGCCCAAAATAACCCAAGTGCTAAGTGACTTAGCTAATGAGCCTGGAGGAGAAAATGGTAGATGGAGTGGAAGGTGGAAGAGAGGGAACCTTATGGCTTTTTAAGGACTTTAGCATTTGCTTTGTGTCATATGGGAAACCACTGGAAAGTTTTGAGCAAATGAGTGATATAGAATAAGTTATAAAAGAATCACTACTGATGTTTTATGGAGAATATGCTGCAAAATGGAGGCAAAAATGGAAGCAGAGAACTTTAATGGGCTACTTTCATGGTCTGTGTGATGTATGGTAGTAACTTGGATTAGGATGGCAGTAGTGAATTGAGAAGGGCTCTAATTTTGGACATATTTTTAACAAAAAGTCAACAAAATTTTCTGTAAAATTACATGTGTGGTGTAAAACAAAGGCAGGTGTCAAAAATCACTCCAAGGTTTTTTTTCTTAGCAACAAGGAAAAAAGCAATTTCTATTTATTGAGCCAAGGAGAGCTAGTGGAGTAGAAAATTTGGAAGAGAAGTGTTAAAACAGAGATTTTTTTGGGGGGGGACCTTTCTTGAGTCAGTATAGCTTAGGCTATTATGTGTTAACAACTTTAATCTAAATCTCAGAGGCTTAGTGTAATAAGGTTCAACCAAAAGGCCAATGCATGTAGCACAGCACCACTCTATTTTTGTAGCTATATCATCTAGAATGTTGATATATCTTAATGGCCTTCAAGATTGCCAAGGCAGAAGAGAAGGGTAGAGGACACATCCCAGCTCTCAACTCCCTCAGTTCAGAAGTGACTCACATCAATTCTACTGAAGTCCATTGGTCCAGTGACTTGTGCTGCCACCAACATATTGGTAAGACAGGCTGTTGTTAAATGTAAGGAAGAACTTATAATATTTGACGAGCACTGCCTTACCACAATCAATCCTTCGGTGTCTTCTTAAAAACAGACTATATTCAACCAATTTCCAATACAGACAACATCAAATCTCTTCTACTGACTGTATGCAGTACAAAGAAGAGGCTTTCCAGGATATACTTACTAGTCTTCATGAGTTACAACGTGGCTGCTCCTCATTCACAGATCTATTAAGTTATAAGGCATGTTATTCACCCTACACAAACCCAATAATTGGCAGAAGAACAGGGAAAGGATAACCACAACCAATAATCTTGCTCATAAAGAGAAGAACAAGAGACACAAAACATCTGGAATGCTGGCCTCCAACAATTCTGAAATCCCTCTGGGCAAATATTGTAATGGTCTCTTATCCTGGGAATAAAGAAAGCTTTCTTAATTAGGGCCTGGTAGTTTCTAGGAAGATCACTTTGTCCATTGTATTGTTTTCCCTGGTTCCACCCTTTCTCACACTATTATCCCTGTACACGTGTCCTACTTAGGGGAATATTGCATTCTTGTGAATTGCACAGTTATTTCAGGTCTGTTCTTAACTTTCACAAGGTTAAAAGCCTGTGATTTATTTTGTCTTAAAGTGCCCAAGACATTTTTTATTTTAGGATTCACAGTTTCTTTGGCAATGATTTTTTTTTTTCCAAGAGTTTGGGAAGCTTCTCAACAATTTGCTACAAACAAAGATTTTTTTTAAAAAGCCATTTAAATTATTTTGCATTTGTACCCTCAGGTTAAGAGTAGTTGCCTTGAAGGTATCTGGAACATACCATTGGCCCAGTAACTTGGGCTGCCACCAACATATTGGTAAGACAGGCTGTTGTTACATGTAAGAAAGTACTTATAATACTTCACGAGCACCTTAAAGTCCACATACTTAGTCTGATATTTTCCCCAAGTTTTTTATTACAACTAATATTTACTGAGAATCTGTCACTGACAGTCAGCTGACAGTTTTTTTTTAAATTCTATTTTGTAGTGTTTGGGATCTAGAAGCACTTAGCTTTTTCAACATTTCAGGACATTGTATTTCTGAACTCTATTTCTTTTTTATTTGTCTGCAAAGCAACCAGTTCCTTTCCGAGCTCATCAATTTCTTGTAATTCCTTGCTAAATGCCTGGAAATTTTCTGTTTTTCAACCTTTTCTTGTAGAAGTTCAAGAGACACATGATATGAATTACAAACTGTTACAGATGTCTGTTTTACTACATATTTTTCCATTTAATAAAATGGCTTTAAATTTCTTCAACGAGGCAGGGCGTGGTGGCTCATGCCTGTAATCCTAGCACTCTGGGAGGCCAGGGTGGGAGGATTGCTCAAGGTCAGGAGTTCAAGAGCAGCCTGAGCAAGAGTAAGATCCCTGTCTCTACTAAAAATAGAAAGAAATTAGCTGGACAACTAAAAATATATATATAAAAAAAAATAAGCCGGGCATAGTGGCACAAGCCTGTGGTCCCAGCTACTCGGGAGGCTGAGGCAGAAGGATTGCTTAAGCCCAGGAGTTTGAGGTTGCTGTGATCTAGGCTGACACCACAGCACTCTAGCCCAGGAAATGGAGGAAGACTCTGTCTCAAAAAAAAAAATAAATAAAGAAAGAAAAGAAAAGAAAAGAAAAGAAAAAATTAAAAAAAAATTTTTCAACTGATGATATCAATCTTCTTTCATTTAATGAGTTATTGACACAATACCAAAATTTAGTTACTTCTTAGAGTAGCACCCCTCACTTCAAGTTATCAAATTGTTTATTGGGATATGCTAGGCAAATTATATCAACAAAATAACCTTAACATTGCATTGGTACATCTTGCTATAAGTTTTATCTTGAGTTTACATGAAGCTTTAGGTAGGTCAATCACTTTTCCTTCACTTTGTGCCTATACTACGTGAAACTCACAGTCTCTAATGCTCCCATAGCAGGATAGGAGAAGGATGAAGCAGGTAATCATGCTTTTAATTGCCAGAACTAAGCACATAATGCCAATTTAGCTTAAAAGGAATGGAGGAACTCCTGAGAAGGGTAGAGAAACACAAAGAGTAGATGAAGAGTCCTGTCCCTACCATAGATTTTTGGGGTTTATTATGCCGTGTACAATAATAACATCTTCCCAGTGGTAATTTGAGTATACCACTGCATATATGGATGTGGAGTTTGGGAAAGCAGCCTAGATTGGAGATATAAATTTGATAGTTAGCAACATATCATTATAGTTTGGCATTGTGATAAGACTATCTAGGGAGTGACTAATGATATAAAGGGAAGACAGCCAAACTCAGAGGCTCAGGTCCCCTCAAGGTTAGAGATTGGGCAGATGAGAGAGATCCAGCAAAAGAAGCTGAGTAGGAGCAGCTACCAAGGAAGTAGTTAAGACGTAAAGTAATAGCCAGAAGTCAGGTAAAAAAATAGCTTCTAGGAAAAAAGGAGTTCAACTGTTTCTAAAGCTATGGTAGATCCAATAATTTGAGAACGAGAGCTTCTAGTTGAATTCAGTAGTGAAAAGGTCATTGATAACCTTGATAAGAATTGTTTGGTGAAATTTTGCTTAAAGAAAATATGATTAAGGAACTGGAGCCACTGACAATCAACTCTTTTGAGGAATTTTGTTCTAAACAGTAGAAAAAGTTGGGACATTAACTAGAATGATTTGAAAGCATAAAGGAAGCTGTTTGTTTTAAAGCAAATAGATATTGAAACATAGTTGTATATAATAGGAACTAAGTAAATATTTATTGTGATGAAAGTATGAAATAAGTGCCTAAGTTAATTCACAAAAACATAAACCACGTTATATGCAGTATAGTGCTATTATCAAAACTAGAAAGTGATCATCATGAATAACAATGAATGAAGGCAAAATGAATGCAGATATCCAGCTTACTAGATTACTGTGAAATATCATAAATTTCTTTAATCATTTGTATAGTTGATAGACACTTACTACACATATAGCTATCCAACATCCAGCATCATGCTTAAAACAAGAAATATAAGAGTGAACCAGATAGACATCAAGGGACATTAGAATGCTGGCTAAATTTTTACTGCATGCAAATGATAAGAGATATGCAGTGTAAACATTAAGAATTGGCTCTCCTGGCAATACCATTTGTGACAGTTTCCTTCAACCAGGTCCAAAAAATTCTCCAAACTATATTTCTTTACATACTTAATTGAGCTGCTCATGTGGTGTAAGTCTTGGATAAGTGAAGGTGAACATTTTTTCTTCCAGACTGAGGTATTCAAAGATATCTGAAAGGACAGAGTGGGCAATGATGATAACTTTCCAAAGCATACTATAAGAAGAAGTTTGTATGGGCATGGTGGTGTTCCCTTGTAGTCCCAGTTATTCAGGAGATGAGACAGGGGGATTGCTTGAGGCCAGGAGTTCAAAGCTGCAGTGAGTTATGATTGTGCCTGTAAATAGCCACTGCACTCCAGCAAGGGCAACATGGTGAGATTCTGTCTTAAAAAAATAAAAGGAAGAAGATTGAATTTGCGGGCAAGTCTCCTTAGTTCAATGTCTGAAAATAGACTTCTGCTTTCATAGGGTTAGAATGCTATTTTGTTTAAGAAAAACTAGTTCCTCTGGTAAAAACGAAAAGTAAACTCTGAGTGCTATCATAACACCCTGTGTATATGTGGTAATGAGCATGGGTTGCAGTTGAAAGACAGAGTTTCATTGGGGAGGCAAACCTGGGCACGCACAAAGACTTTTATCATTTATTTCAATGAATAGCTTAATTGTAAGTTTTTCAATTCTTTTTCATCTAAACCCATTAATCAGTAGTGAATCAAAGGTCTCCCAAAGATCTTAGTTTTATAAGCTATTTAGATAAAAGAAATTAGAGAAATTTATAATTAGTTAGATGAAGCTACTATAAGTTAGACAATTGATTGGGAACAAGTTACATATTTAAAATGACTCATTTATACATTTGAAGACTGAAATGCTGATATGTTTGGTTTTGTTTGTCTGAAGTGTTATTTTATGATCAAAATGGGAAGACTCAATGTGATACATAATGAATTTAATTAAATATCATTGGGTGGTTTGCAAGTGATCTTTAAACTTTCTTCTCTCTTCTCTCAGTAAATAGAAGCACATTTAGGACTGCTTTTTACTTATGTGACTTTCTCTCCAGTATTTTGGTTACCCCAAGTATAAAACAAATGGGTGAATCTCAAAAAACTATCTGCTATATTGTCTGGACTGTGTCATATGTATTATAATGTACAATAGTGCTGCCCAATAGAACTTTCTGTGATAGGAATATTCTCTAATTTGCATTGCCTATTGTAGTAGTCAATGGATACAAGTCACTACTGAACACTTGAAATGTGACTAGCACAATGGAGAAGTTGATTTTTTAATTTATTTAATTGCAATTAATTTAAAGATCCACATAAAGTTAATAGCTATCATATTGAACATCTCTTTTACAAAAATCTCTCTCTTTTCTCTCTCTTATTCAAGTACATAAACTATTTTATTCAAATGTAAATTTTCTATCAAATATTCTCCTAATAATTTTTTTTTGTTTTCTTCTTCAGCCTGCTTTTGGAAATACTGTGTTTAAAGATTTTTCTCTGTATGCAAAAACTATAAAGTTTCAGAAAAAGATATATATCTACTCACTCTACTCCTTAAAGGTTTTTGTGGTTTCAAGCATGAAGAAACTGTGACATTTATTTTGCACATTATTTTCGCACATTGCTAAATTTTTACTAAGTAGGTTATAATATGCTTTCAGTTTATGTTGTGAAGAATGACAAATCACTTGCACTTTTGAATGGCATGGGACTATCAAAATGGCTTTATAGAGTTGAAGTTGAGAGTGCTATCCAATCGTATGATTTTTATAAATTCATTGTCTACATATAGTTTTCTCCTGTAGTGAATATGCTGTTGAGCTATTACTTAAAATATTTTTAAAAGCATCTTGGAAAGTTAAAATAAATTATGTTGTTTTAATTTATTTGGAAAATATGCATTATTCTTCTCTTTTTTATGATTGTGATGGCCATCCTCTCTTTTCTGTTAATTTGAACAATTGTCATTGAAACTATTACAACAAATGAATACATTACCAAGAAGCAGAACTATATCATTTATTGTGCTCTGGGAGAAAGTAGTAGGTGTCTCAGATATAAAATGTTAAGAAAACTTTCTTACAGAAAAATTTGCCTTTTGTTTCTTAATTCTCATTCCTACCTCCTCCACAATATGAGAAACTGTGTGAGACTCTCAACATGACTGTCAGAGGCTAGAAATAATGTGCTAAAACAACCACAAAAAATTTAAAAATTGGCTTTTTCTTGATTAGTTTTTATTTTATATCTATACATCAAACTGCTCTTACTTACATTTGAAAAAGTTTATTTAATCAATCCATGGCTGGGAGTTCAACCCTAATTTTGTTTGCTACCTGTGCTGGCACAGATATGTTGTCAAAGTAACTTTATAATTAAAGAATATTAATGACTACATTAGTATGTGATAGCTGATCAGATGAGATGACATATATTCCCTTACTTTACATTATGGGGGAGATGCAGTTTTATTTATACAATATTAATTTTGTGGTGCTTAAAGATAAAACCAGCTTGCAATATAAAATGAACAATATTGCTTAAACTAAAAATGAAGAATAAACAAGGGCATAAACAGTCCAAGATGAGCAATATGCTTGTAGTGCTAAGCTTGCTTAGGGACCACTCAAATGTACATAAATAAATATTAGTTGCACAATGGTGCTTAAAAATGTTCCCCAAACATATTTACAACAGTTGTGAACACAAATATAATGCTATAATAAAGAAAGATGTAAACAACTGCTTTCGTCATCTCAAGTTTATTCACTTTGGAAAAGTTGACCAATATTCAAGCACCTCGAACTTTTCGATATAATGGGTAATGTCATTCAAAAAACTTTTGATACTTCTTTTTTTAAAAAAGATTCCATCAATTTATTTTTTGATAATTTGTTTTAAAAAATTTAATTCCCTAAAACCATGTGTAGATTAAAGGTACAATTTGACAGACATTTCATAGCATGAGTAAATTTTAAGACAAAGTGTGTAGGAATTACATACTATTGAAGTTGATTATGTATTTGACACCAAAATTCAGAAATCTATATTCACACATATATTTGTTCTATGAAGTTTCACAAAGGAAAGAAGAAAAAAAAAGGTAATGCATTATTTTGAAGTTGAAATATACTCATATTTAGTAGTATATAATGCATTGGGTAAATAAATGAGATGACTCGTCATATTCTTAACAGAAATTATGTCTTAATTTACTGCTGTGTTAAAACAATACCCTATTTAAGCCAGTATATTGCTGACTTATTTTCTACTCTGTATAAAGTAGTGGTAAAAATTAAAATATGAAATAAAACAGCTATAAGTGGAGAAAATATTTTGCTTTTTTTCTTCATGGAAGTCTTGTGCATATATTATATTATGAGACAAACACATTATACATTAGAATAGAGCGTAAATCAATATTTTTTCACTTCTTACTATAATTAAGTTGGATGCTATAGCCAAGTTTGAATTAAAAAAATAAAGAATGTAGGAAATCAATTTGTTTAATCCAACTTCAAATCTTTATGAGAAATTTTTAGGCTGACGTAGGTTTTAATACTTTTTGTCAAAGCACGAAGCAGCACCTGGTTGAATTAGAAGCTTACAAATATCCAAACAGGAGAAAAAGGAAAGAAAGAGCATCTAAGAAATAGGGCATATTTCTATAGTTCATTAGGAGCTTGGGAAAAGGGAGGTGAGATATCATAACTTCTTAAGTAATTTTTTCAAACTGTGAGTCCTGCAGCGTTTTCACCTAAGTAACACTACTAGCTTTCTAATACAAGTTTATAAAAATCAGAATTAGTTAGCTTTCTCAAAATTCATTTCTCTTAGCTATCACCCTCTATTACAATTATAAAAAACATTCATTTACTGTTTTTTCCTAAACTTAAATTTGAAGATTTTTGATTTGAAAATTTTCTGGAAAAACTAAGAAGTTATATACAAAACCAATATGTATTCTAAGTACACATGTTCGTTTCTGTCACTTCTTTTCGGCTCTTTTGAACTTGATCTCTAAAAAGCAGAGTGGACAACTGAACAATTAGCCTTTTATAAAGGTCAATCATTGAATTCAGCTCTTTTCTGATGCATTTTGTCGTGATGTTTGAGTTTATATTACTCTTTGGATCATACAAGTACAATAATTTTTAGTGAAAATTAGCAACTACTCATTTCTCTCTTCTTTTAATAGAAAGACACGTTCTCACGACACTCTTTATGCTAAAATAAAGCTTTGCTCTATTAGTCAAAACTTTTTTCCTCACATCTATTAGGTCTGTTTGACAGTGACTACTAAGGCTTCAAGAATTGTTTTCCAGATGCTTCATAAACTTCTGCTAAGTAGCTTATGTTGAATCTCTGGTCCAGGGAATAAGGCTTATTGTGTGTTCTGAAAGCATATTCAATGCACAGCAGGTTTATGTTCTTTAACTACAGTAACATCACAATTATTACTGAGAACTGAGCTTTCCAGAAAACCAAAACTTATGCTGTGATAGGTCAATTAAAAATAATCTGAAACATTTTAAAGAAATAATTTTTAAATACATTATGCTCATTGATGGCTTATTAAGCACAGTGTATGAAACAGACTACACAGTTTCTTAGATGAGTCAGTAATATCAAAATGATTGCTTCTTGTACTATGTTGAAATGTACTGTGCTAAAATGATATGCACATAATTGACCCCATACTGCTCTGGTAGTTTACTACTTGGTGATCCTTTAACTTTCCCCTACTTTTAACTTTACTTCTGTGTGTGGCTATTCCTCTCATAATGAGCTACTGCTGCTCTTAACTATCAGTTAAAATTTAGACATATGGAAAGTTCTTAGGGGACAAAGAATATCTGAGCTTGGCAAATGAGCAATATCCTTAATTTTTAAATTCTAAGTCAATATGCTCACTGGGTCTGTGTTTTTATTTGGTTGAACATAATTAAAATTTGAACACAATAAGAGAAGCCTAATTTTATAATTATTACCCAGCAGGCTCACTGACAAAAGAAAAGAGTAGTATGAAAGTACTCAAAAGAAAATATACAGCATTGCCTTTCCTTATTCTCCCATAATGAACAAACAAGTTGCATCTAAATTTTATGGAAGCAAATCTGTCTTTCATTATTATTCTTTAACTGCAAAAATGTGAATGGTAAATGCATATAGAAGACATGTCACTGAATTGTGCTTTTTAATTGATATTTTAAAAGTAAAATTTTGGGGGGCAGGTAATCATACCTGAATAATTAAAATATATATATATTTTAAAATATACATGCATCAAAATTATCAGCACAATTTAACTGAAGCTGTAACAATACTGTGATGTGATGAACTGAAGTTCAAGCTTGGGAAAGAATTTGCAGAAGGCCAGTTACTTAAAAGTTTAATTGTTAAGGAGTATGAAGAACTTCATTGAAGCATCTTTTATATTTCTGTGACATTTCACCCAAGGAGGTTGCATCTGCAAAAATGAAAGTTGAAGTTGTTAAAGCTAATGAGAACTTGGTAGATCAGGTAGAAGTCCACTAACTTCACTTAAGCTTTTAACCTCTAATTATTGTTCATTATGGCTTTTATTTATATGGAATGTTTTTATTTCAAATACAGTACTGCAGAATGATAATTTCAGGTCAAAATCCATTAAAAAGAATGTTTTAAATATATAAGCAAGGTACTTATGCTCAAGTTTTAGTAAAAATTATAAAATACCTTGTCACAACATTTTTCTTCAGGTACCTACTATAGTCTATTTTGCTATAGTTTTCTATCTTGGTTCAAAGGATGATTCCATGACAAACAAAAGGATAAAGAGAACTGACTACCACTTTCTGTTTATTGTTGTGATAACATAATTTTATACATTTTGCTCATGTTAAAAGGATCCAACCATATACTGTTATTTAAACATGATATTCCTGCTGTATTTGAGAGTTATATTAATTTATTTGAATGATAGTGTGCTAATAGTGCTCTAAAATAAAAATTGTCAGTAAAAACCAGTGAACACGTGCCTCACTTTATTGAAAGAAAAGTCTTAATGCATGTGGCACCAAGTGATAGTACAATTAATGGTCAAATTTCTAATTTCATCAAGTAGACATCCTGAGTTCAATGGCAAAAACCGACAAGTTGTCACCTAGAGAAGAAGCTATGAAACCTTAGACAAACTACTTCTTTGAATTTGAGTCACTCAGAACTAAGGCCTATTAAAAACTTAAAGTTTCGGTAAAATATACTAATGGTTTGAAGAAGCCATTGCATAAATCAGATTATCTCCCTTTCCAAAACATATATCAGGAAAGAGATTAGCATTTGGTGTGGAAACTAGGTAGCATACAGCAGCTGTATCTAGACTTTGACCTCAAACCAAGCAAAACTTCCACGACTAGGTACCAGTTTCGCTTTTAGTGTGAAGACTTAAAATGAAACTCAGAAGGCAAAAACTCACAAATTGGCCTGCTCTAAAAGAGAATACATCAGCCCTCACAGATGTGAAAGTATTTACTAAAGTCTGAAATACCATTTTTGTTTGCTTTAGAAATGTATATCCAGTGGAGTTAGCATCCAACAATGAAAATTTAGTGCCAAGAAGACCTTTTGGGTTATGAAGAGAATGTTGGCCTAGAAGTCCAAAGACTTGGGTCCTAGATCTTGCTCTGCCCAAGACTATAAAACTGTGGGCAAATCAATGTCATCTCACAGCTCTAGTTACTGAATTGTTTAAAAAATGGCTTTTGATGAAATGAAAGTTTATGTTCTTGAATCACTAAGCTTTATGATTCTGTGAACATTATTTAATGATTCTTAAGTTATAATCTATTAAATGATGCACATATTACATCCCCTATTTAATTAAAAGAAATATTGTGACTGCAGGAAAAAATTACCAAAAATAAGTTTGAAAATTTGATTGGAAATTAGAAATAAATTATTATTTCACGGTTTTGTTATACATGAAATAAAACATGAAACCACATGAGGAAGTAAAAAACATCTGGGAAATCTTGGTTATAGTGATGGGAAATAATATTAATAAATGGAAACAATGGTTGAACAGGTGAACCCACAATGACTGACAAAAGGGAAAGAGAAAATATTTGATAAGTCCTTCTCTAAACCTACTCTTTTGTGATATTACTATCTTCAGATTTTCTTTTATTTTTTTAATTAATTAATTTTTTTTTTTTTGAGACAAAGTCTCACTCTGTTGCCTGGGCTAGAGTGCTGTGGCATTAGCCTAGCTCACAGCAACCTTAAACTCCTGGGCTCAACCAATCCTTCTGCCTCAGCCTCCCAAGTAGCTGGGACTGCAGGCATGCGCCACCATGCTCAGCTAATTTTTTGTATATACTTTTAGTTTGCCAATTAATTTCTTTCTATTTTTAGTGGAGACAGTGTCTCGCTCTTGCTCAGGCTGATCTTGAACTTCTCACCTTGAGTGATTCTCCCACCTTGGCCTCCCAGAATGCTGGGATTACAGGCGTGAGCCACTGTACCCGGCCACTATCTTCAGATTTTAATAATAAGGATAGTGATTGTCAAGATGCTTAACAAAGTTTGCTAAGAGAAGGACACAATATACAAATTTGGATTTAACCCAACAGTGATTCAGGAAACACTGTATTAATTCAACTCTCTTCATAGTTTAGTAGCTATCTGAAGTTTCAATGGCCTAAGACTCCATATGAAAATTCACATGAAAACAAGTTCTCTGTATGATTTGTTTATCATAACCCTGTTTTGGTTGAATTTGGAAATGTTAAAATGGGTGATAATCAAGAGTGGCAAAGGTATATGTGTAAACCAGTCAAACTTAATTATTTGAATCTCAGTGTCATAGTGTTCTCAATACATCAAGAAACTGGAGTATCGTGACCCTGATTGAAAGAGTTACTTGGTTTTTAATAGCGACTAGCTAGTTCCTACTCAGATATAATTTTAACAACCCTGAGGTGTGACGATACTTTGTCTATCTCTAGATATGAAAAATAAAGTTCAATCTGAGTTTTGAAGATGGTGCTTCAAAAGGCAGTATTCTTGGAAGTATTCAATAAGTCCTCTTGTGTTTATAGGCTTTCAGTAACTTGAGAACTTTATTAAACAACAAATCCATGAAAGAAAAGTTTATTTTAATTACATTTTAAATAAATGTATTTTAATTAAATAAATTTAATTTATTTTAATTAAATTGTAATTAAATTTAAATATTCTGAGAATGAGTGAGTAGAGGTAAAATATTGACTACTCATTGTGGCTTTAGAGCATTTGGGGATGAGGAATAAAATTGGGTTATTTAAATTAAGAGATTTAAATTAAGAGCTAATGTGATGTTTTGAGGGTGTCTGTGTCATTGATCTGAAGATCATCTTGAGAGAAGCAGAAAGGAGAATTCCCTCTCCTCCAGCCTGAAATTGTTAAAGCAGTTCCAGGTTGTCTTATTTGTTTGGGAGGGAGGATGTACCTTCTATACGCCTTATTGGGAGAAAATATATTACCTAGATTTCACATACAAGAAACATTTATTTAATGTTTAAAAGATATAATATGTATGACTAAATATAGTGTTTAGAATATAAACTCAGGATTTAAGCTTTCTGGATTTTTATGTGCATCACTTATACTCTATGTGGCATTGTAAGTTAATATTTCTAAGTCTTCCACTTATTTGTGTAATAATAACAATTACTAATGATTATTAAGTATTTAATATATGTTAGGTACTATTTTAAGTGTTTAATATGTACCTATTCATGTAATCCTCAGGGCAATGCTATGTGATAGAAATTATTATTCTAATTTTATGGAGGAGGGATTCAGAATTTAAGCTAGTTCACACAGCTAGCAATAGATGGCCTGATATTTGAATCCATGAAGGCTAATCTCCCCAGCTGGCACCTTTACCCCTTATACCCTACTGCTTCTCAAGATATTGGAGATAGTAATAGTACTACTTTATGGAACAAAATGATTAAATGATGCAATGCATGTAAAGCGCTAAGTGTAGTGCCCAGCACAGAGTAAATTTTCAGAACTCTAATATAAACTGTTATTCCTTGCATTTATTGTGTGTCCAATATATTCTTGGACTACCACAAACATCTAATTTAATCTTCATAATAATACTAGGTTATTATCAATATATTTACGATGCAGAAATATAGGGTATCTTGACAGAGATAAGATAATGGATGAGTGACAGAACCAGGATTTGGATAAGGTGTTTTGATTTCATGGATGATACTTTAACTGTTACATCATTCTCTCCTGTATGCTCCATGTTATCATGGTAATGTATTTATTGGCAATAAAATGATATGTATCATAGGAATGTTTCTTCTTCAGAGCACAGGGATTGCTATACATTAATGTATATTTAGCAAGGTGATTTACTATGTTAATTACAATCTTAATCCTTATTTGCATATTAATATTCAATAATTACATAGGAGTCTGTAAAAATGGCTAAATCACTAATTTTGTGGGGGACAAAGCAGATTTGGACACTCTTTTGCTTTTTAAATGTTTAAATTATTCAATATTAATATACTAATTGAATATAGAAAAATTTGAAAATGTGGATTTATAAGATAAGAAATCAAAAGGGGGATTTCGATTGATTAGTCCTTTGTGAAATGTTAATCAAATGCCTGCACACATCCTTATTTATTTAAATTGTACTCACAATTGGAATCGATTAGCCTCTTGAGTTTGAAAGCCGGTTTCTACCAATCCGATCCATGGGGATACCAAATCGCTTTTTTGGATGGTCCACTACTTTCCTGAAACAAACCAAAGAGGACATTTGTTAGCTAAAGTCCAAGTTATCAAGCATGACTTCTGTTCTTTTATTTCGTGCTTTCTTCGAGAGTTGGAATAAACATGATGGTTACCATTCACCAGCACTTGCTATGTGCCAGACACTGTCTCCTATTTTCAACATCTGTACAAGTAGGTTAGGTATTACTACCTCCAATTTACATATGAGGAAACTGAGGTTTAAAGAAGTTAACTTATCTAAATTCAAATAGTTCACATGAAAAGCCAGGTCTTGTCAGCATACTAATCTGCCAACTAAGTGCTTTAGTTAGGGAAAATCCCTTCCCTGTTTCAGATTTTGTTTTTCTGTTAATTGAGGAAGATTAGACTAAATCAGGGTTTTTACCCCCAATATCTGCTTCAGAAAGGGGTTCTTCTGAAGATGATGTTGGAAGAGTCTCTCCTCTCCCAACATCATCTGACTGCAGAGTAAGTGTGCCTCCCATGTCTTCACTTAGACTTCACCCCGAGAAGCTTTGTATGTGATGGCCTATGTCTGCTTATATATTCTCTATGTTGAATATTGTTCGGAAACAAACAACTTCATTATTAAAATGAAGTTTATAAATTCCACAGAGAGCCAGGAGCGGCATAATGTACCTTCCAGTTTATATTTTCTATAAATTACTCCTTTAAAAATAAAAACCATTTTAGAAATATTTTTTATTTTATTTATTATTATCATCATCACTTAGTTCTGTCAAACCAAAGTACTAACAGGACAGGACAGGTCCCAGAACTTTGAGTGTGTAACTTTCACTGGCATTGGAGTTAAGAGAAGTGTGTCTTCTTTTTTGTGTGTTTTTTGTTTTTTGAGACAGAGTCTCACTCTGTTGCCCGGGCTAGACTGCCATGGTGTCAGCCTAGCTCACAGCAACCTCAAACTCCTAAGCTCAAGTGATCCTCCTGCCTCGGCCTCCCAAGTAGCTGGGACTACAGGCATGCACCGCCATGCCCAGCTAATTTTTTCTATATAGTTTTAGTTGGCCAATTAATTTCTTTCTATTTTTTCAGTAGAGACAGGGTCTCCCTCTTGCTCAGGCTGGTTTTGAACTCCTCACCTTGAATGATCCTCCTACCTTGGCCTCCCAGAGTGTTAGGATTACAGGCGTGAGCCACCGCGCCGGTGGAGAAGTGTGTCTTCTTAATGAAGAAAGAGGCAGGCAGGAGAAGCTAAGAAGCCTATGTAAGTAAGTTACTTATCGCAAAGCTAAAAATAATTGGCTTATAGATGTGCTAGGCATTTTGTCGACTTATACGTGTAGAAAAGAGGAAAGCAAGGAGGGCATATGACAATATTAGACATGTACAGACTACAAATGCAAGCTCCCAGATCAAGAAACAATATTATCATCAGTCATAATACTTTTGGAATGAGAAAGAATCTTAAAGGTTATTCTCCCACCAAATGTGAGGATTTCTACTTCTACCGTTTTGTGACCAGTAAAGATACATACAATTCATTGCTTGAAAAATCTCAGTGGTGTGGGACTTAGCACCTTACAAGACAACTTAATTTTCAGGAGCTTAAAGAGTTAAAAACCAATTTGTTTCAGAACATTTTTCAATAGCTTCTTTAGTTCTTTTATAATTACTTGCATTATATTATTAATCTATACGACATAATTTAAACATTAAAAATGAGTGAAAATTATAGAGTCTTTGAGGTTTTTTTCTTACTGTTGTTCAATTGTTTTTCTTTTTTTTAAAAATTTACTCCTTCACAGAATGATTGTTTTCTTATTATACTTTACAGTGTACTTACTATGCATAAGGTTCTTTTTGTGTCTGCCTTGGGAGAGATGAATCAGAAATAGTCTTTGACTTCAAAAACCTGTAACTGACTACTCTCAGACTGATAACTATTTCATGCAAATACTAGAGGAAAAATCTTTCATTTTTACTGATGTCAAGTTTTTACCTTAACTACCAGGTCTTATTAATATTCTTAATATTACTATTAAGTAAATAATGTATTAAAAGGCTCTGAAAAGTATGGAGAACAATGGAAACGAGAGATTTGTATTGCTGTAGCTTGCACATAAAAATCTATAAACATTGATTACTTCTAATTAAAATAACTTGAAGATAATCAATATTTACTTAGTGTCTTCTATATGCCAGGTGCTGTGCTTAGTAATGTATATACAAGAATGATAAAAGAGACATGGAACCTGACACGGTGCTTATCCTCAAGTGATAGTATGGGAATATTATGTTTCTAATCTTATTCAACTTTCTTTTCTGTTGATTCACGTCCATCTTCCTTTCTAGGTTGGCTCTTGGTTTTATTATCTGCATTGACTATATGTATGATCTTTATAAGACTTTGTCTGCTGGACAACAACTTGATCAGTTACTTAGGTGGGAAAAATCTAGGAAAAAATACTTAGTGCTTATCCTTACCCTATCCACACCCCTGCCTCCCTTCTTCAGATTTCTGGAATACATATCCTTGTAGGTGGTATCTATTGTTTGTACTTCCAGATTTCTGGATAACAAATTGACTACATATTTTTCAACTTGGTAACCAATTGGGAAACATACTATTTATAAACATGCTATTTGTAAAATTAGCATAAAATTCATGGTCAAGAGTCATAAGAAACTATGCATATCAGTCATGGTTTGATGTAATTATAAATAATGGCTATTGAAAGAAAATAATTGTCTCCTTTACATTTTTAATTATCTTTATAATATTACATAAGTAAATTTATAGGCTCTAACTTTAAATGGTTATTTTCCTTGTGGTAGTCAGAATAATGTCTTTCCAAAGATGTCTACCTCATAATCCCCAGAATCCTTAAGTATGTCACTTTACATAGCAAAAACAATTTTGCAGATAGAAATAAAGTTAAGGACCTTGAACTGGACACATGATACTGGACTATCTGGGTCCAGTGGGCCAAATTTAGTCATTGGAGTCTGCAAAAGTAGATGATGACTGAAGAAAAGTCAGACACTAACATCAATGTGAGGACTTTACCACCATCACTGGCTTTGAAGGTGGAGGAAAGGGTCATGTATCAAGGAATTCTGTGGCCTGTAGAAGTCCTAGAATCAAATGGGACCTCAGTCATACAATTATAAGGCACTGAATTCTGCTAACAATTGGAATGAGAGGAAGTGAAAAACCAAGCCCTTTCAGGTATTTAAAGAACTTGTGAGAAGGGGAAGGAAATAGCAGCTGGGAAAAGGAGTCATATGACATGCATGCTGATCTCTCAAAGCTTCTTTAAGAGTAAATGTGTCATGAAAAAATAATCCTTTTACTTCTTTTAAAGAGAAGTATGATTAAAACAGAAAATTTTTTGTTCCCTACTACCAATCCATTTTTTCAAAGATGAAGGTAAAATAAATGAAAATAGCATTTTTCTTTCTTGCTTTACCACAGTTGATCTTTCTCTGCTCAGGCAAATGAGAGGCAGCTATAGTGTAGTGGAAAGCAAACTCCCCTCCCTCCCCCCTCCCTCCCCCCATCTTCCTTCCTTCCTTCCTTCCTTCCTTCCTTCTTCTCCTTGTCTTCCTCCTTCCCTCCTTCCTCTTCCCTCCCCTTCCACCTCCTCCTTCCCTCCTTCCCTCCTTCCCTCCTTCCTTCCTCCCTTCCTCCCTTCCTCCCTCTTTCCCCATTTTCTCCTTTCCTTCTTTCCCCCAGATTTGATCCAAAAAGTATTAGGAACCAGGAGATGAAGGATTGGGTTCTTAATTCTTTTACTTGCTTATAGTGTAGCCCTCTGAAAGTCTGTTATTGTAACTACTCTTTCCCTTTTGATAGAATTCAGAGGATACTTGCTGTGCCTATCCTTTGGAGCTGTTTGTTCATTTAACATACTTATTTGTTAATTAATATTTGATTGTTTTGTGATAACTATATTCATTCTCTTCACTGGGGATACAGTGCTTAATAAGACATATATTACCTCTCAGAGTTCACATTTTACATTGAAATGAGCTAATGAGGTAGCACACGTGAAAACATTTTACACATTTTAATTGATTTTATTGTTTCCTACCAGTCTAGTCCAATGGTTTTCAAACTATTTGTAGCTTACTATTAATATTTCCACAAATAAAAGCTTTATGAAAGAGAGCAATATCTAAAAAGTTAAGTGAAGAATTGTCCTAGTAAAAAAGTACCCTCATCTGTTCATATATGGTGGCTCCTGGAAGAACTTCCAGAAACATGTTAGGTTGTTCAGAGCAGACTTTGAATGAAAACTACTGGTCAAGGTGATAGAGTCTTAGATTGTGTATGTTATTCTAGCAATAAATCCATAATTACTTTGATTCATTTTATCAAAATTCAAACAGATTGCAAATGCTCACAGGTATTTAGAAATCAGATAAGAAAAATAAATAAAACAAATACAAATAAAAGGCATTCAGTATTTTAAATTTTTAGCACTAATACAAAATGAAAACAATTATTTTCATAAAGCACATAAACAAAACATAATAGTTCAGTAAGTTAAATAATTTCTACACAATCTATATCCATTCAGAAGTAAAATAGCGAGCTAGTAGCTATTTTAACATTTTTGCTGATGTGAATGTATATATTGGTACTACATTCTATACCACATGCACTGAATGTAGTGTGTAAAAAATAAACATTAGGTAGAGAAATATTCTTAAGACCAAAAGGGAAAGCAGTAATTTCTGACTATCTAGTCCCTCTTGTGACAAAATAATGGTATGACATGGCTTGTATCATATATGCATTTAAAGTAATCCACCTTTATCATTCTAAAATATTCTGTAGCTAGGTTAAAGATGTAGAATGTCTATCAAACTAAATACATAGAATGATTGGATTGTTAATTTTGAACAGAACTTTAATCTTTACACTAAAATATAGACTTTTGTGTGAAATAGGATTTTCTGGAACATTTATATTCTTGGATAAATCCACTTCTAAATGTATTTTACATTCTAAAAAAGCAGTTAGAAAAATTATATT